GGGGGGGGGGGGGGGGGGGGGGGGGGGGGGGGGGGGGGTGTGTAAGATAAAGAACACTTTCTTCCCCATGTTTCTTGGAGACTCCACACAATGCTCACTTGTTGCTGCTCTCCTTGTAATTAGCCCGCCGGTTGTGAGGCGGCAGCGGCGCATCAGGCCCCCGTCTACCTGCCACGTGAAAGGGCTGAGCATAGTGGTTTAGAGGGGGGGGGTGATTATGGATGGATTGGAAACTATAGGTCTGGGAGACTTTCAGGAAGAATGGTGTGTTTGGTGTGTTCCTGGTGTTGTGGTGTTAATGTAAGGCAGGATGTGTCTCTGTGTGTGTCCTTGTGTCTAAGCGTCGTGACTCTGACAGTTTCACTGCTGCTTTCTTAAATTGTCGGCATTTCTAGGGAGTTCAGAAGTCTGTCCATTATGTTTCTGAGGCAGCGTTTAGTTTGTGAAATAGAAAATACTGAGCCCAAGGTGACGCCTTCAGATGAATCTGTTTCATACAAAGCGATATTCAATGTAACATGGTAGTAAAAGAGTCCGTTCTATGGGTGAACGTGTTCAGTGGTGAGATGGTCTGCTTCTATCCCTCACGCTGCTGTTCTATTATGTATCCTGACGGTAGATACATGGGACATATAGATACAGTTAAACAATCGTGTATTCTTGCTCCGCAAAGAGATTATTCTGTTTGCAGCTGAAATAATTAGTCTGTATGAATCTCTTTAATTGTATAAGTCATTTTTTATTTTAAAGTGAAACATACAAAGTGCACAAATCTCTGTTTTATATAATTGTTAATTGTATTTAACTGGATTGTTGGTGGGACGTCATCTTTGTGAGGGATTGTTTTAATATTAAAATAATCTGTAGATTAATGAAAGAATAAGATGCAGCGCTAATGCTTTTACTATCAGATCCTTTGGAAACAAACATAATTCTCTCTTGGTTGTCCAAAACTGTGAGTGTTTGCAGCCGGTGTGTTGTGCGGCGGTGACGGTTTCTACCAGCTAAAGAGACAACAACTTCTCAAAACCTGTATTCCCGTAAACTGTTGAAGTCATTGTGAGAGCATCAGCTGAATGACTGGAAGTCAGATATTAATTATAATATTTGTCTCTCTGTATCCCCCCCCCCATCTCTGCTTGTAAGACTCATCTAATAACTCCGTGTTTCCTTCAGATTATTTTATATTTGCTTATTCACGCTGTTTGAATATGTGTATATATATATATATATATATACAATCTGTACAACATACGACACCCTCTGCCCTTAGAACTTCTTATCAGATGAGGAAAACAGATGTGCAATAGATGTTATGTGTACAGAATAAAATTACATCAGTCAATCCATATGAAAGAAATGATAATGAGAGCAGTAGTAGCACTTAACAATAGATAAAGATGTAAACATGGTGACATACTGTAATAACCTCGCTCCATAGAAACATGTATGAAAACTTGTCCAAGGACGTGAAACGGGGGGGGCGGCATTTTACAGAACCGCCGCCAAAAACAACAAACCCCTCCGCGGCTGTTTGTTCTGAACAGATTAACGTGATTCACAACGCTCGCCCAACCAGATTGTCTGAAATAGACAAAAAAAGAACGGATGAATCACAAATCGTATTATTCTGGTATTAATGTTAACACCTCGTGTAAAATAGAAAGAGCTTCTAATCTCTGCTGCTGCAAAGTGTATTCCCTCCTCGTCCCATTCTGCCATAATACCCCTATTACAGCATTTCATGGGACGGTGCATTAGTGTAGATATCAGCTGTCCGTCAGGAGGACGCGGCCAAAGACAGATTTGTGGGACTCAGAGATTCGGCGGAACTCCCCCGGCTCCTTGTCTTTGGATGGAAGCTTTATCTTTGAGCGTGTAAGACGCTGTGTTTGTATGCTGTTTACATTCATTACACTTTGAGTATTTTTTATGTATCAACGGCTTGTTTTCTGTGTGTGTGTGTGTGTGTGTGTGTGTGTCTTTATCTGCATGTTTTCTCCTCAAGTTTGTTGCTGCAGCCTTGTGTTTGTACCCAGAGTTCATAGTGTGTTTTGGTGCTAGTGTTTGGTGTGTGTGTGTGTGTGTGTGTGTGTGTGTGTGTGTGTGTGCGTGTGCGTGCGTGTGCGTGTGCGTGTGTGTATAATGCAGTGGATTACCAGCAGCCTGTTTTTGAAGGGATCGTGAGTCTTTTGTCGTCTCGAGGAGTCAAACCCCAGCGGAGGGGAGATCGTCTTCCTCTCTTCAGCATCCTCCCATCTTTCTCCTAACGTCCCTCTTCTCTCTCTGCCTCTTCCACCATCCACCTCTTGTCTTCATCATCTTAGCTGGTTCAACTTTCTGTCCTCATTTCTGAAACCTGTGAGATAACTTCTTGGTCCTTGTTGTGATCCATAAAGAGATAAAAGAGTTGCGTTACATAAGCATAAGAAGTATCAACATCAGTGTTTTCTTCCAGCTCAGTGAGCGCTGCTGTGAAGCTG